CCGTCTGAGTGCGGAGTGGGGCGCAGAGCACGCAAAACGGTGTTGATGGGCAGCGTTGGTCAGCCGCGGAGGATGTAATGCTTAAGGCCCACGGGTGGAGATAACGTTAGGCAACATTTCCCACTGGACCAAACGCTACCCGGTCGGTGTGTTTCGGGATCAGACCCCATAGCGTGGGATGAGACCAAAACACCCCCAATCGGATTCCAAGGCTCCTTCCCCAGACCCCGGTACCATGAATTTGGCAAACCGGGCAAAGGGGGATAGCCGCGTTCCATGGGTGTCTTTGCCAATTGAGGACGACCCATCTAGCCCTGAGGGCAGAGTTGCTTGAGCACATTATTATGCATGCCCAGCACTCTGGTGACCTTGGAGGCAGAACGCACCAGCCTCCTAGACCAGGCGACATTTTTACTGGTGGGCCACTGCACATCTACGTGCGACACCCCCTAGTGTTGCCTGGCTCGCTTGGCCAGGGCCACTACTGTGCTACAAGACGCGGCCTTAGACGCACGTGTTTTCGCCGACAAACTGAGCCGGGGTACGTCCCCACCTCAGTGATGCAGACTGGACACCCTCCACCTTCTTCAGGCACGTGTTCGGTGAGTGGCCAGGTCACAACTTAGTGACTACTTCAGGCTTTGGGGAACTCACCTCATGGGGGAAGGGAGCACCCCCCCCCCCTCGCAACTGCCGAACACATGGCCACACATCCCTGTCGTACACAGGATTGCGCCGGTGTAGTCCGGTTTGGAGACGGCGGGTGACCGATACCTGGACCTTTCCAGGTGGTGACATCCGTTTACGGCATACCGCTGAAATCTCCATTTCCCCCCGTCAGTGTCTCCCCTGTTGGGCACTGCCAGGGGACTCCCGCAAGGCGGAAGCAATCAGACAGGAAGTAGCAGTTTGCTGGGGAAAGACGCCATACACAAGGTACATCAGCCGGAACTAAGTCCAGGCTTCTACCCAAATGTGTTCGTAGTACCAAATCTACAAGTGGCAGGCGTCCAGTTTTGGACCTAGACAGACTGAATCAGTACGTGCCCCTCGATCGGTTCCACATGGAGACACCATTCAGGGTTCTTCTCTCCATCCACAGTTTTGACTGGCTAGCCCCGCTAGACTTAAGGGGGCCTACCTGCATGTACCGATGCACCTAGCGAGTTGCCATCTCCTTTGAATCGCCCAGCTGGGCCAAGTATTCGAACTTCGGTATAACGCTTGTTATAACGCCGAGCTCTCCTATGGGAACTAGATAGGTGGGTTTCGATCTCGGACCAAGTGAAGGAAGCCCTGCCCTGGTGGTCGTCACTGACCAACCTCGGGTATGACTCTGGTAACAGATGCCTCCCCCCAGGGTTGGGGAGCGCATCTATTGGACGAACAAGCCCAAGGATATGGCTCCCGCATAGTTTCGGGACCACCATATCAACCGGCTCGAACTGTGAGCAGTGTACTTAGCACTACCACGCTTTCTACCCGTAGTTCGAGACCACAGAGTCCTGCTCCGCACAGACAACGCAGCGGTGGTCTCCTTCAAGAAGGAGGGGAGGGACGCATTCCCCATCGTTGTCAGTCCTAGCGGAGCAAAATCCTCCTTTGGTGCCTGGAATACAATGTGGAGCTAACCGCACACCACCTTCCAGGAGTGAGGAACAGTCTGGCGACGCCCTTTCAGGGCGACTCCGTCTCCAGAACACGGAGTGGCTGATACCCCAGTGGGTAGCCTCCAGGCTGTTTCGGCTGTGGACGGTCCAAGGTTAGACCGTTTGCCGCACCCCGGAACACCAAGCTCCCGACGTACGTAACACTCCTGCTGACTCCAGGAGCCCTGGGCCAGGGTCGCTTTGCTACCCCGCGGACCCACATAGATGTGTACGCTTTTCCTCCCTTCCCGCTAGTCCACCGGGCACCGGAGAAGACTTCGACAGGTGCACACCTGCATATTATCATTGGTCGCACCCAATTGGCCAAACAGGGCCTAGTTTCCACTTCTGTCGGAAACGATAGTCGAAACACCAGCAGTGCTTCCA